GCAGTTCAATCTGGCCTGAAGACGGCCCCTTGGGGCCCCCAAGAAACTTCCAAGAAGCCCCCAGGAGGCCAAACTCACTCAAAATTCGGATGACAGTCATCGAGTGCCGGAGGTCTTGCCTTTCCGCTCCCGAGGTGCCTCTGAAACCTCAGGATGGTCCAAGAATGGCCCTAGAAGAGCCCAAGGAAGGCCCGAGACGGCCAAACCTGGCTTCGAGACGGTCCTCAAGGCCGCCAAGGCGGCCCCAGATGGCCTCCAGGCGGTCCCGGGCAGCTCCAGGTGTCTCCAAGATGGCCCCACCGTGCCCCCAACACGCTCCCAAGAGGCCCCAGAGAGGACACTGTCCTGCATTCTTGAGGGCAGGTCCAAGCCCCCGCCCACGCAGCCGACTTGATGTTCCTGGAGGCCTCTCCGGGAACATCAGCCGACGGCACCACGACCGCGGCAGTCATGATGGTCATCATGACGATTTTCCGACACAATCAAAGTTTTGACGATGCATATTGTGATGGTGATGCTGGTGATGATTATGGTGATTATGATTGTGATTGTGATGGTGAAGGTGATGATGCTGATGAATGCGATGATGCAGTTGTTGCTGTTGTTGGGGATGATGATGGTGATCACCATGACGATAACATCATGGCTATGGCGATGATGGGAATGGTGACGGAGATGACGATGCCCAGCATGGTCAGGAGGTCGATGATATTGACTGTGATAGACACGATGGTTGGAGATAGGGAGACGGGCACGTGATGCTGTTGGCACATGGTGTTGATGATGATGATGATGATGATGATGATGATGATGATGATGATGATGATGATGATGATATGATGATGGTTATGATGCTGCTGCTGATGACGATGACGATGACGATGACGAAATCGATGACGATGATGACGACGCCCACGACGATGTTGATAATGATGATGCTGCTGCCGGTAATGATGAGCATCATCAACATTATCATCAGCATCATCATCATCATGTCTGATGTTCCTGGAGGTCTCTCCAGGAACATCCGGTCGACCGCACGACGACGATGCTAACAGTGATGCTCATGACTGCCATGCTACGAAATAATAAGATGATGATGATAATGATGATAATGATGATGATGCTGATGATGCTGGTGATGATGCTGATGATGAGGATGATAACCAGGAGGATGAGGATGCTGATGATTATGATACTGCTGTTGGTGAAGTGTTGGTTGTTATGATGCTGCTGCTGATGGTGGTGATGATGACGACGACGATGATGATGATGGTTCTGGTGATGATGATGGTGATGATGCTGACGATGCTGTGAAGTATCATTGTGTTGTTGGCGATGATGTCGTTTGTTAGGATTTTTGTTATCATGCGTATCATTGTTTTTGAATGCCATCATTATTAGTAATATAACCATCATTCATATGATATTGCCCCCGCGACAACTCAAACTGGTCCTCCAGATCGCTTCATCAGGCTTCCAAGAGGCTCCCAAGAGGCTTCCTGGGGGGACCCCAGGACAGACCAAGATGTACCAATGATCTTCATGACGACGATGTTGATGCTCATGGTTGCGATGATAAGGAGGACCTCGATATTGATGATGCTGATGCTGCTGCTGCTGATAATACTGGTGACGATGATGATTGTGGTGACGCTGGCGGATTCTAATGCTGCTGTTGCTGATGATGATGATTGGGATGGTGATTTGTGATGGGGATGGTGTTGATGATGTTGATGATGCTGCTGCTGATGATGATGATGATGCTGATGGTGATGGTGGTGGTGATGGTGATGGTGATGCTGCTGTCGATGATGATCACGATGGTGATCGTGATCATAATGCTATGGACGAGGAGTATGATGGTGATTATACGGAAACTGATACCGATAAGGATGTCGATGCTGATGATGCTGATGCTGGTGGTTTATGATGATTTAAGATGCTGCTAGGTATGCTGATGATGGTGATGATGATGATGATAACGATGATGCTGATGATGATGCTGATGCTGATGATGATGATGATGCTGATGGTGGTGCTGCTGCTGATGACGATGATGATGTTGCTGTTGCTGATGATGATGATGATGATGATGATGATGCTGATGATGATGGTGATGATGATGATGATGATGATGATGATGATGATTATGATGCTGATGATGATGATGATGATGATGATGATGATGATGATGATGAGAGTGATGATGATGCTGATGATGATGGGTATGATGATGCTGATGATGATGCTGATGATGATAATGACGACGATGATGCGTCAACTTGGGTTATTGTGTCATGACGATAATCACGCCAATGTCGAGGACGGCATTGACAGTGCAGATGGTGATGCTGACGATGCTGAGGATGCAGATGCAGATGAGAGTGATGACGGTGACGATGATGGTGACGGTGATCATCACGACACTGATGCTGTTGCTGATGCTGTCTCCTCGATTCAGCGGCCGCCTCTGAAGCTGCTAGAGTGCCCTAAATTTGCCCGAGAGAGCCCCGAGAGGAGTCCCAGAGGCCACCAAGACGGTTTCGAGCCGTCAAGCGCCTTCCAAAACGATCCAAGCGATCTCGAATAGTCTTGCGCGTCGGCTTTCGAAAGTGTCAGACGGGCCAAGGGCACCCTATGACAGCCTGCGAAACCCCCTCGAGGCTCCAAAGCTGCACCAACAGGCCCCCAAGACGCCTCCAAGATGCCCCCAAGTGGCTTCCAAGAATCCAACTGGACGCCCAAAGTGTTCAATAACCAATGGGAAACCACAGGTTCTGAAGGATTCGCTTTTTTTTTTTTTGTTTCTCTCTCTCTCTCTCTCGATGGGCTGGCCACTTGGGCCTCAAGATGCCCTCTGGGAGGCAACAGGGGCTTTGGCACCGACAGAAAAGGACCCCGAGAGAACCTTCAAGCAAATCCAAGAAGCCCGCTTCCCCCTCAACCCCCCGTAGCGCCTCCAAGAGGCTCCCCGCGTCGTGTCGTCGACGGAGTGTTCCGGGAGGCCTCTCCAGCATCTTTGGGCCGACGACGACGACGATGACGATTTTGAGGTTCATTCTGGTGGTTATGAGGGTGATGGGCCAGACGAAACAGTGACGATGTACACGATTAGCTTAGCGGCGCTGATGACCACGGTGACAGGAGTGATAATGAAGTTGGTGATCCTCATGATAATGAGGATAATGATGATGCTGATGATGATGGTGATGATGACGATGATGCTAGTGGTGGTGATGATGACGACGGTGATAATTCTGACGATGATGATGACGATGATGATGAAGAGGAGGAGGAGGATTGTGACAATTCGGATGATGATGATGATGGTGATTATATTGTTGCTGATGACGATGACGACAATCAAGAGGGTTTTGACGACGGGTTTAATGGTGATTATGCTGCTGACGATGATGATCATGATGATGATGTCGATGATGACGACGATGCTGATGATGCTGATGATTATGATTCTGACGACGGAGATGATAATGATGATGATGGTGGTTGGTGATGGCGGTGGTGATGGTGATACTGATGACGGCGACGTTGATCACGATGTTGATACGCGCGTTTGACGCATGGTCATGGCTGGTAGCACTGTACCAATGATGCTTACAATGATGCTGTTGTCGTCGATGGTGATGCTGATGCTGCTGATGATGCTGCTGCTGATGACGATGCTGATGATGATTATGCTGATGATGATGATGCCGATGATGCTGATGCTGATGCTGATGCTGATGCTGATGCTGATGCTGATGCTGATGCTGACTATTGTAATGATGAGTAGTATGATGACCTCCAGTAGGGTGATGACGAGGAGTATGAGAGTGAGGACGGGAATGAGGAGGAGGGTTAGGATTTGTACCACTCCGGCAAACGCTTATGCACGATATCACTTTCCAAGCTCTTCAAGCCATCCCTCGGCCTGCGCTAGAACCTTAGCGAACGCGACGCGCCTTTCTTGTTTTTGCTTCTTTGTTGTTGTCGTGCTTCCATGCTTTCCATTTGATGCATGTTCTCTCTCTTTCTCTCTCTCCCGTGTTCTGTTTGTCTCTTTCTTTCTGTTTGTTTTTCTCTCTCTCTCTATCCCTCTCTCTATATGTATTTACATATTCATATAAACTTGACCCGGGCCCTGGACCGCGTCTTTCTGCTGCGTGTTTCGAGCCGTATCGATCCGAGAGGGCCCTGGGTCCCGAAACCGAGCGAACACGCGCAGTGTGGTACAACAGAGACGCCCAGATCTCAGGGGAGGAGGAGGAGGAGGAGGAGGAGGAGGAGGAGGAGGAGGAGGAGGAGGAGGCGGAGGAGGAGGGGATGGCGCGGAGCAGAGGAGGAGGAAGAGGAGGGAGACGAGGAAAGCAGGAGAGGCGAAAGGAGGAGGAAGGAGGAGGAGGAGGAGGAGGAGGTCAGACCAGTCATCAACGATGTTGGAAGAAGAGGAGGAGGAGAAGGTGGAGGAAGAGGAGGAGCGCCGGAGTGGGAGAAGAGAGAGAAGTAGGCAGGAGGTGGAGGAGGAGGAGGAGGAGGAAGGCGGGAGAAGGGCGAGGCGGAGAAGGCGGAGGCGGAGGAGGAGGAGGAGGCGGTGGGAACAGAAGAGGAGAGGAGAGGAGGAGGAGGAGGAGGAGGAAATGGAGGAGGAGGAGGAGGAGGAGGAGAGGAGGAGGAGGAGGAGGAGGACGAGGAGAAGGCGGAAGCGGAGGCGGAGAAGGTGGAGGCGGAGAGAGGAGGAGGAGGAGGAGGAGGAGGCGTGGAGGAGAAGGAGGTGGAGGGAGGAGAGGAGGAGGAGGAGGAGGGAGGAGGAGGAGGAGGGAAATGGAGGAGGAAGGAGGAGAGGAGAGAGGATGGAGGAGCAGGAGGAGGAAGGAGGAGGAGGGAGGAGAGGGAGGAGGAGGGGGGGGGCGGAGGAGGAGGAGGAGGAGAGGAGGAGGAGGAGGAGGAGGAGGAGGAGGAGGAGTGGCGGCTGCGGCGGCGGCGGCGGCCGCGGCGAGGACGGGCGGCATGCTCGCGCCCTTTTTCGCCCTCGCGGCGGGGGACGGCGCGTGGCACGTGCTGGCGCTCGCGGATCTCGCCCTCGCTGCGGCCGTCGCGGCCAGGAGGTTGGGCCGGGGGCGCCCGGGGGCGGCGCTGCCAGGGGCGGCTCTGGCAGGCATCTCGGGGGAGGAAACCCTGAGGTCCGGGTATTGCAGTTTTCATGCTGGGCGCTCTCGCCCCCGGCTCGACAAGTGCAGGAAGATTGGGTCCAGAGCTCCGGCCACGCGCAGAGGGGGTGGGGGAGAGTGGGGCAGGCTCCTCAGAAGCACCCCTGTTTCTCAGAAGGCGCGGGCCTTATCTATTGACGTGGGGCTGGCGCCTTCTAAGAAGCAGCCTCCTTCCAAGACGCCTCCCCCCCTCCCCCAAGCTAGGACATGCCAGGCTCTGTCGAACTCTTCTACGCCGCGCTTTCCCATCCATCGCGTGCCCTCTTGGGATCCGTGCCCTGCTCGACATTTGACTGCTCAAATCGATAGGAGATCTTCGCCATTGCACGTGGTGTGAGGGATGGGTAGGACGTCAAATGTGCCGCTACCGCAAGTAGTTTGCCCTACTCCCTCCCCTCTCCCCCCCTCCCCCCTCCCCCCTCCCCCCCTCCTCCCTCCTCCTCCTCCCTCTTCCTCCTCCTCCTCCGCCTCCTCCTCCTCCGCCTCCTCCCCGCCTCCGCCTCCGCCTCCCCCTCCTCCTCCTCCTCCTCCTCCTCCTCCCCCCTCCTCCTCCTCCTCCTCCTCCTCTCCCCTCTTCTCTCCTCCCTCCTCCTCCTCCTCCTCCGCCTCTGCCTCCTCCTCCTCCCTCCGCCTCCTCCTCCTCCTCCTCCTCCGCCTCCGCCTTCTCCTCGTCGTCGTCCTCCTCTCCTCCTCCCTCTTCCCTCCTCCTCCCCCCCCCCCTCCTCCCTCCTCCTCCTCCTCCTCCTCCTCCTCCTCCTCCTCCTCCTCCTCCTCCTCCTCCTCCTCCTCCTCCTCCTCCTCCTCCTGGCGCACCCAGCTTGCCCTGCCAGTCTCTGCGCGCCGCCAACAGCTCCCTCTGGACCTGTCGCCGCGCCTTCTCCTGCGGAGCTGGACCTCAGGGCAGCTGCACCGATGCCGCTGCTCGTCGCGGAGGCCCTTGGCCGCTGGAGGCTGGAGGGCCTCCGCGAGGCGCTGGTCGGAAGACGCACCCCCCGAGAGGGTCTGGGGAGCATCGGAGGAGACGGGGGGAGGGCGGAGAGAACCCCCAACAGTGACACGTCGATTAGTGAATTGTCCGTTTTCGGCTCTCGAGAGGGCGCCGCGGCCGTTAGTTTCCAGGTTTGGGGCTCAGGTCGTTTTCACTAAACCACGTTTTACAAAAGGGAGGTCTGTCCATCCCCGAAAGGGGGGAGGGCATGGGGGGTGGACATAGGCATAGGGGTCGGGGGGTGGACAGACCTCCTGCCCTGACACGCCGATTCGCGAATTAGCCGTTTTCGGTTCGCGAGAGGGCGTCGCGGTCGTCATTTTTGCGGGTCCAGGTCCGTCGGTTTCGGTCCTAGGCCGTTTTCGCTAAAGGGAGGTTTACTAAAGAGAGGTTTATCCACCGCCGAAGGGGGGGTGGTATAGGCATAGGGAGTGATGGGCATAGGGGGGGGCGTGGGCGTAAGGGGGAGATGGGTATATGGGGGGGAGTGGGCATAGGGGGGGATAGGTCTAGGGAGGGGGGACGGGCCTAGGGGGGGATCGGCCTAGGGGGGGGGGGATAGGCCTAGGGGAGGGGGGGACAGGCACAGGGGGGGATGGGCGTACGGGGGGATAGGCATACGGGGGGTAGAGCGGGATAGGGGGGGAAAGGCATAGGGGGGATGGGCATGTGGGGGGTAGGGGGGGATAGGCATACGGGGGGATGGGCATACGGGGGGATAGGCACCGATCCCCCATCGCCCACTGATCGTCGATAGGGGCCCGGTAGCCCCAACTTCCCCAGGAACGTGCGGGTTCACGATCGGGGTATCCGCGATGTATCGCCGATTCCAGGTCGATGTGTCTTCCCTATGCCAGTCCCCCCTTAGAGTTGCCCCTCGAGACAAAACTCGTAAACATGCGCTCTCGGAGGTCCGCGGGGAATTCTTGCAGCAGCGCCCGACCCCCCCCCCTGGCGCGTGGCGCGTGCCCTTGCCGGCGCCAGAGGCGCCGCCGGGAGGCTCCGCCGCCGATCCGAGGAGTCCGCGCGGAGCTCCGACAGTTCATGTTTATACAGTTTTTTTAAGTTGTTTCTTCTTGTGATCGTTTTCTCATTCATTCTTTTGTCGATCGGCGCGGGCCCTCGCACCCCCCTCCCTCCCCATGGGGTAGATCTTGGGTGTTTTTGGCGCCTTGCGAGCAGGTGGATTCTCCCCTCCCCCATCGGACGCACTGCTGCGAACAGTCGCACTAAGCAGAGGTACGGAGCCAGACCCCCCCCCCTCCCCCCTCCCCTTCCGCCCAATGGCGAAACGCCGAATAAGACAACGTTCTCGTAGCGGTATCAGTACATTTTGTTCCCCCGACATCGGGCCGGCGGGAGACGGCGCCCCGGGCGCGTCGGCGACAAGCGATGCAGCAAAGGGGCTCGCCCCGATGCGGGTGCTGGTGCCAGCCCTGGCGTTCCTGGTGCTGGCCCAGGCGGCCGAGACGGCCGTCTCCGCCTGGGGCTTCACGTTGGCCGTGAGCCGGTTCCCGGAGAAGGAAGCCCAGACATCGAAGGAGAAGTAAAAACACAAACAGAATCTTTTGGCGCTCTGCGCGGACTTCTTCGCCGTGGGCCGCGGACACAATCTTTTACGTTCGCCGTGGGCCGGTTCCCGAAGAATCCCAGACTCTAGGCCTTTGAAATGGGGTCCGAGCAGATGGGGTCGGAGGATCGCGCCGTATCGCCGATCATGAGCGATGCAGCTCAATGTGAAGCCAGATTTGCTTCACATCGACGTTTCCGATGCATCGTCGATGCGTCGCCGATGCATCGGCGATGCGTTCCCGGAGAAGGAATCCCAGACATCGAAGGAGAAACAACGCCACAAACATACATTGTTGGCCCTCCGCGCGGAGCGCCAAGAGTTCATGTTGATGCCGTTTTTCTTCTAAGATATGTTCGCGTCGTGAAAAACACGGCGGGAGGTCTTTTGCAGTTCTCGGGGCCCTCGCCGGGCCCTTGGACCGTCAAAGAACGGTCCGGGATGAAACACCTGCCCCTGTGAAAGGGTCGGGTTTTCTGGGGACCCCGACGTGAGAAAACCAAGACACTGCATGTCTGGCAAGGTATCAATACCGCAGCCCTTCCCTCGTCTTCGCGTTCTTTGGCTTCCTCGGGGGCCCTCGTCCTCACGGCGGAATTCTCCTCGGAGTTCTGGTCAGCGTGCACCCCAGGAGATTCACTGGAGAGCACCAGCATCGGTCTCTTTGGTCTGCCCAGGCTGGGGCTGTCCTCCGCGGTCGCCGCGAGGTTCCCCGCGGTCTTCTATCCGGCGGCCTTCGGCCTGCGCCGCCAGCGTGTCTGAGTCGTTGGCCGGGGGCCTCTCGGAGGCCTCGCTTTGGGGCGCCTCTCGGAGGCCTCTCTTTGGGGGGGGCCTCTCGGGGGCGCCTCGCTGCGGCAGGGAGAGAGCTCTCCTTGCTCGGCGTGTCGCGCCGCAGGCTTTGGTCCACCGCGCTTAGGAGGGGAGGGGAAGAAGCCCAGGCACAGACAGTCGTCGATCCCCAGCAAGCTATGGAAGATATTGATGCTGGAGGCCTCGCGCGGCAACTTGAGACCCGATGTACGTCGAATTCACGTCGGACTTACGTTGGGCTGACTCCGGAGCATCGCCGCGCCAGCGTCGACCCATAGCTCGCGGAACTGACGTGTGGAGTAGAGCATACCATTATTTCGCGAGGCGCGAGGCCTCCAGCATCCTGGGGCGTGGAGGGGAAGACGGACGTCCACAAGGTGGTAAGGAAAGCATCGGGAATCCTGGGGGTCGGGCCTGCTTATTTGCGTGCCCCTTGGCCCCTTCAACGGGGCACCGCAGCCGACGCCTGGCGCCGCCGCCTCCTTGGGCTGAAAGCCTGCGGTCCTCGCCGCCGCATCCGCGCCGCCCTCCTCCGCCACCCTTTGCCCCCGCCATCACCCGGCCCTGCGTCGCCGCCACTCCCTCCGCAGCGCGCCCGCCGCCCCCGCGGTTGGCAGCTTTGCGAGGGCCCCTGGGCCTCCAGCGCGGCGCTTTTTCCGAATCATCCTGTGGTGTCGAATCCTCGTTTTGAAGAGGCGGTCCCCGCGTTCCTTCCTCCTCACTCCTCCTCCCTCCTCCCCCTCCTCCTTCCTCCCTGCGTTTCAGCCACCCAGTACAGCGTTTCGTGGGGCCCATAGGGAGCTCCACCGAAGATCCCAGTGCCACCGGCCGCATGCCTCAACCACCACCTAGCAGAGTCCTTCCTCCCTGCGTTTCACCCACCCAGTACAGTCCTTCCTCCCTGTGTTTTGTGGCCCCAGAGGGAGCTCCACCGACGATCCCAGTGCCACCGCCATCATGCGTCAAGCATCACCCAGCACAGCCCTTCCTCCATGCGTTTCGCCCACCCAGTCGTGGCCCCAGTGGGACCGCCCGCATGCGTCAACCACCACCTAGCACAGTTCTTTCTCCCTGCGTTTCACCCACACAGTACAGCGTTTTGTGGTCTCTTAGGGAACTCCACCGAAGGTTCCAGTGGGACCGCCAGCACGCGTCACCCACCCAGCACAGCCTTTCCTCCCTGCGTTTCACCGACAGTGCAGCGTTTCGTGTTCCCCTGGGGAGCTCCACCGAGGGTCCCAGTTGGACCATCCGCGTGCGTCAACCACCACCCAACACAGCCCTTCTTCCCTGCGTTTCACCCACCCAGTACGGCGCTTCGTGGCCCCACAGGGAGCCCCACCGAAGGTCCCAATGAGGTCCCAGTGCCACCGCCCGCATGCGTCAGCCACCACCCACCACAGCCCTTCCTCCTTGCGTTTC